CGAGCGATTGTTGCAGTCCGGCTATTAAATCCGACTTCACTGAGCTTGAAAGTATCATTAAATATTGAAGATGGAGTAACTTTTACAAATTTTTGGGAGCTTTTAATTAATTTGTTTTTATTTACATGTACTGTATATAATATTATTTTGTTTATAAGACATTTAGTAGCACACATTCCTATGAAAACGCGTGCGTTATATAATACAATGTTTCATCCTTTTCTATGTATTAATATCTCAGTATTTACACAACATCGCTCAAAGTTAACGCTACGCGTGAATAATTTTGTCATACGTCATTTTGAAATACGGATAACGAAAGCAATTACACATTACATTGCGATCTCTTATTTCAAATAAATTTTTACGCATTTTTACGCGAAAGAGATTTTTCTACCGGCTGAAATAAATTACTTCTTTACAATTAATTTTTGTTCCGTATTGTGGCGTATATGTGATGCGCCACGAGCGTACCTCTGTTACTCCACATTGTTTAGTTGTTGAGTTAAATATTCTCCCGTTGTAAGTTGTTAACATCGCGTACACGTGAAATGGAGTGATATCGCGAAATGCGTTAACAGCCGAGCGATCCTGCTTTCGGGCAAGAATCCCGCGTTGGTTTCGCTGGACCGTATTTCCTCGGCAAACGCAGCTTCCTCGCTCCGAAACGCTTTATTACTGACCTGTATTCACTCGGGATTTAACTTCTGCAGACATTAACACAGCGAGCGAGCGAGTGAGCGAGCGAGCGAGCGAGCGAGCGTTCCGAAGTTTCATGGGACGAGTTTATATTCTTCGCCGGTGGCGACCGAAGTACGCGGTCTCCTTAATTGCGGACGATAGTGTCGTGCAGGTGGTTCTTGCAATTTAAATAGCACATGACAGGAGACGCCCCCGTGTTCCGCTCCCGTGATCGCGAATCGCGTTTGGCTCGACCGGCATTCTTTGTATCTAATACATAGACGTGCCCGGCATATTTCGCCGCGCGGTGCGTGCGCGGAATTTTGCGTTTAATTAACGAGTGAGCGTTTATTGAATACTCGATACTTGGGTTATTGTCTTTTTTCAAGCCTGCCAGGCTGAGGAACTGAAATTTAAGTTTAGCTAAAAGTTCTTTTCAAATTATCAACTCACGAACAGTTACCAGCTTAAAAATCCTCCGGTGAGATGAAGAGAGTTTTTAATTATCCGTACAATTTTAATGGGATGCATCGAAATTTTTTTTAAAGCAGCGGCTTTGTTTTTCTTTTGTTCGTTTCTAATAAACAATTCAAACTAATAAACTAATAAACAAATTTCAATGCAATTCATCGAAATTCTAGTTCTTGTGTCAATATTTTGTGCGATCTATATAGACGGCTCTATATATAGATATATATGTGAAATTTACATATGTGGATAAGAACATGTGCCCGATTTAAAAGCTTCTTTGAAGCAATGTTTCATGTGCTAAAAATGATATATGAAAGTCTTGACGTCATCGAAATCGGTCGCATACTCGTTCAAATATCACGTGCTTCGACCAGCCAGTCTTTCAGACACGGTCGTTTTTAAATAGACGCAGACCTATTTTACAAGCGTATAAATCTTAAAATTCGACTCGTTAAAATACAAGTTTGTCGAGTCCGCTTTATCGAAGTATACGAGAGCAAAGCATGTAATGATGATACACCATGAGCGACAGCACGAATAGCAAGTCAGCGTTATGTTGTTATGTAAACTTCATGAAATATCTCGACTGAAAATACCAATTCCTCAAACTTCCACTATGCACGTATGTTACATTTGTTATACCTTCAAGATTGTAGAAAGTCTCGTGTATTATTTTAAATTTTATCAAAGTTGAGAAAATTTCTTTAAAAACGACATAACCATATGCACATTTTATATTTCATTTATCTTCTTCCTATGTGCGATAACAAAAATTCATATTCAATCGTATAGAATTTTATTCGTTGTTTATTTAAAGCCAAATCGGCCAATGTCGGGTAACGCATCCATTTGATATTCGTTCATTTAGATATTTCACAAATCAAAATGTGCCATATTTTCGCGACGAATTTTATTATATTATTGTTACACACAATTACAATATTTTCATTTTGATATACATTTGCTGCTCCGAGCGAATATATTCATCATTTGGGCGAACACGTGCCGTATTATGTGTACTGTCTAAAAATTTATATACAAACTAGTTTCGTAATTTTTCCAATATTCCTGATGAAACGCCAGTTAATTCGACAATTCGATTTATCTCAACATCTGCCGATGCCAATGACATTTCATTCATTATTAAGTGAGTCGACGTCTGACGTGGCCTCGCGTCAAAGGACCGTCTCGTTTTACGTTCGGGCTTTAATGAGTTCAGGTGAACGAACGTATGACACACGAATATAAACGTGAAATGTTCGTCCCGTTCGCTGTTTGCTCCTCGTATTACTCACTTCGGAGCCACTGAGGACAGTCGGCAAACGATAAGATGGCACAAGACGCGATAATGTGACGCTATTCATCGAGGCGTTTCGCTATTCCGCACGCGGTTGCAGAATTACCCTATACAAGCGAATCCAACTGATCTTCTGGGAGATGTGTTTCCATAAGGAAACTAATTTGGTAGACGGTTCTATGGTAGTCCGTATACACACTCGGTTACGAGGATTTGCCTTTTTTGTAGCCCACATTTCGGTGGTCTACGCGATTGCCGTTTTCGCGAACTTTCGTAAATGAATTTAAAACGCGGTTCGGATTTTTTTACTTAATTTGTAGATTTTACGATGAGCGCCGGAATTAATTCGCCGCGTGCAAGTGATACTGTTACAAATAAACAAATAAGCGCAAAGTATTATAATTTTTTTTCACAACTAAAAATCTAGTACAGCGGTCATATTCATTTGTAAATAAGTATTAATATAGCATGGTGTATAAATGGAATTAAATTATTAATTATAATTATGTGATTAAATAATATTAAAAATTTTAAGTAATTGAATATTAGTAATTGACATATCGTATTGATGTTATATTTTTTTTAATGATACATCTCCATATTCAAGTTTACTTTAACCGACCTAAATTTTACACACCCAAAATTCTATTTACATTATTTTATGTGTTATGTATTTGGATACGCATTCTATTACATATTTTGTACATATACGCAATTTAAATGCTTTTCATATTTGACAGAGTATATAAAATTATAATTAAAATTTTTTCCCACGAATTGTAAATTATTTTTTGATGTAAATTATCTTTTTGTAGTTGTATTACTATTTATTTTTTTATTGTAAAATACTTTTTATTTTGAAATTGATTATACACTTGATTTATAACGGTAAGAATTTTGCATTGTATTTTCTCGTATCTTTCTATAATTGTATAATTATCTACCTACAACTTTCTTGAAGCGTCTTTTTATTTCTTTAATTACAACGCGAATAAATCGTATCCGTTAGGTATTTTAGTCTATTTCCCGAATCATTACAAGCGGTAACGGTTTCGTGAGAGAACTCGATTAACTTCAAACCTCATGTTCGGCCTTTCGCTCGTTTCGCCGTAACTATCGACAGTGCCGTAGAAACAGACTTCTCCTTTTGCTTTACTAGTCTACCAGTTACTTGCCGAACTTCAGCAGCGACTATATAGATACGTACAGTCGATCGTATGGTTCACAATCGAAATTTGATCATCGGGAGCTTTTGCCATGCGCTTCAGGAAGTTCGACTCTAATTCTCCTCCTCATTCTTGTCGAATTCAATTCGATCGGCGTAACAGCCAATTTTGCCGTCACGAGATCGAAATTATTTTAAGACCGAAATGTCGCGAACTTTCCTCTCGTGTCGCATTATATATAATTCCGCAGATTTTTTTGTTTTTTTAGAAGCGAGCCGTCTCGCTCATAATATAATCCAAATGAGTCAACTATTTAAATAGATATTGAACATTATTAATTACCCGCGAATAGGGAAAATGAACGATGGAATCTGTCATTGTAATACCATCCATTAAGCGGTTAACCGAGGATTACCGCGAATGCGCTTATGCAAGTTTAGTTGTATTTTGTCATGATGATTGTACCAACATCATTATAATCATCCTATCGCGCCAATGCGTTTCGTTGCGATACAATCGTTTATTTGCGCGTCGCGCTAAATGGGTAAGTGTGTCGAACTGGTATTACGCACTCAGTTATTTGCAAAACAATTGCATCATCGTACGTCACCGTTTCGCAAACAAAGGATTCGGTTATTAAATAATACGTGCCGTGAGCTCTTGGTTTTGTATCATTTTGTTCTGCCCCCCCCTCTCTCTCTCTCT